TATTCGATGTCGTATGATTTAATAACGTCATATTTTATTTATTTAAAGACGTAGTGTTTTCTTTTACACGACGAATGTTGTATAAAATAAGTCGTCTATTCTTCTCCATGACAATTTTTTGGTTCATTTTTCAGTGTACAGACGTCGGTTTTTTTTTTGTAAATGACGTTATTTGTTATAACAACGACAATGATTTACCCTAACCGCTATTTCCACGTCAATATTAATGTAAAAAACGAAGTGGCTTTACTATTGCACGACGGTTATATAAATACATTGGACGTCGTATGATTTAATAACGTCATATTTTATTTATTTAAAGACGTATTGTATTCTTTTACACGACGGAGGTTGTATAAGATAGGTCGTCTATTCTTCTCCAAGACAATTTTTTGGTTCATTTTTCAGTATACAGACGTCGGTTGTTTGGTTTTTAATGACGTTGTTTGTTATAACAACGACGGTGATGTCGCATCGTGGTTTTACTTTGCAAAAGACGTCGATCGATTTTACGACGGTTTGAAAACCAAATTCACGACGGTGAATTCCCGTCGTCTTTTGCCTTTTTTGTAGTAGTGAGAGTTGATGATGCTAACTAGAGTTAATATACAAAGTTAACATAAAGATAAATTAGGAAGGGAAGCCTTTGATTGATTCTGAGGAGTGGATGATGGAGCTGCTAGAAGAGCCTTATTTGGCAACGGCAAGATTGCTGGAGATGAGGCATTGATTTGCAGTGACTGCGGTGGTTCCCTTATACGCTAAAGGAGGAGGTGAGAGAGAGAGAGAGAGAGAGAAGAACAGAAAAGAAAGCTATGTTTGGTTTCTGAGAAAAATAATGGAAAGAGAAGAAACTTATAGAGAGAAAGACAGTGGGAGAGTCGGGGGAATGGGGGAGGAAGAGAAGAAAGAGAAGAAAAAAAAGGAGAAAAAAAAGAAAAAAAAAAGAGAAGAAAGATATAAATTTACAAAAATGCCCATGAGCTTAATGGTTAACAGGTATTCGCGACTTACACGACACGACCTGTTAGCTTAACGTATGGCTAACGGGTCAACACAACATGATAACTCGAACCTGAATACTGAAATTTTCGTGTGAATTTTGTCGCGTACAATATTGCCAGGTCTACTTTTGGTTATCAAATTTCGAATTTAGTCTTCGCAGATGATTGCTTAGTCTTTACTAAAGCCACGTCTGTGGCTGCTAGAAATGTTTTAACAATTGTTGAGGCTTTCTCTAAGGCCTCTGGCCAACATATTAATTTCCATAAGTCTACCATTTATTTCTCACTCAAAGTTCCCACAAATGTCAAAAACAATACTAGTATTATCTTGCAAATCCAGCACGAGAACCACTATTGGTAGATACTTAGATATCCACAATACTATTTTCTGGAAAGATCCCCAAAATGCAAAGGAGTTAATTCATAGAATTTGTTCAAAATTTGCAGGGTGGAAAGCTCATACCCTTTCTAGGGTGGGACGACTGACCCTAATAAAGTCGGTTGTGCCGAATCATGTGATGTCCTATTTTAGATGCCCCCCTCAGGTGGTTAAAGAAATGAACAAATGTCGTAGCACTTTTTTCTGGGGTAGTGATAGGACCCTTCCTATCTCTTGGAAGGATGTGTGCCTTCCCGAAGACCTTGGTGGCTTAAGGGTCAGACTTACTAACCAGTTTAATGTTGCAGCTCTAGCTAAGCTCGGGTGGAAATGCCTCACTGACCATTCTAATTGGTGGGTTAAGATTGTTACTTAGAAGTATCTCATACATGAGAGTTTCTTTACTCTCAAGAAAAAAATCAATTCATTATGTAGCTTGTAAATCTATTTTGGATGCTAGACATGTCTTATGCAAAGGTCTTAGGTGGGTGGTGGGAAATGATGGTTCCATCTCTTTCTGGACCTCCCATTGGGTTTTGCCTTTCCCTCTTCTTGACCTAAGTCCCGAGCACCAAAGAGCTCCCTAGAATCTTGACTAGAAAGTCTCATATTTTATTACCAATAACAATTGGGACAAAAAATAAAGTCTCTCAAGTTTTGGATGATGATTTGGTTGATAAAATTTTAACAGTTCCTCTTCCTATCTCTAATTTGCAGGATCAAATAGTTTGGGGCCCTAATCCTAGTGGCTCCTTCACCGTTAAAAGTGCCTACAATATTCAAGTCCAGGAGCACTCCTCATACCCTCAAGTTCGTCTTCTTAAGAAAATATGGAAACTTGAAATCCCTCATAAGTGAAGATTTTTGCCTGGATGCTTATTAGAAAAAGACTTCAAGTGAGAGCTAGACTCCACAGATTTATGCCCCAGTTGTGTCCTAATTGCCTTTTTTGCTAATAGTAGTTTGAAACCATTCAACACCTGTTTGTGGATTGTAGCTTTGCAAGGAATGTTTGGGGATGCTCCTCTGCTTTCCCTTCTCTTCCTTCGCACATTGGTGATTTCATTAGTTGGTTATCCTCTGTGGCTTGCACTACTCAAGCCCCAGGTCTGGATCACTTGTCCAAAGCTATTCTCATTTTTTGAAAGATCTAGGAAGCTAGGAATAATATGCTATTATGAGATTCTCACACACACACTGCTAGTTATTTTCATGTTGCAGCTACTATTGGCATGGATTATTGGTAGCATAACCATTTGGTCAAAAAGAGGAATGATATCCCTATGGTGATAAAATGGCACCACCCTTCTCCTACAGGTTGTATTAAAATTAACTTCGATGGATCTGTCATTAATTCTCAAGCCACCACTGGTTTTGTCATTCGGAATAGTGATGGTCATGTGTTACTGGTTGATGCCAATAACATTGATGAAAATTCCATAAATGTGGCTGGAAGTGTTGCTCTCCGGGATGGTCTCGTTGTCGCTATTGATAGAGGTTGGGTTCAGATTATGGTAGAAGGTGACTCTAAAATTGTTATTGATATTGTCCTAAAAAAAGTTACTTCCCCTTGTAGTATCCAACAAATCATTCAAGATATATGGCTCCTTATCTCTTCTATAGCTTATGTTCGCTTCCAGCATGTGTTTAGGGAGGCAAGATTCATTGTGAATGCAGTTGCCAAGCTGGGCTATGGGTTCTCGTCGCAAGTTAGTTGGGAGCTTGGGCTTCCTTTGTCAATTTGTTCTCCTTTTTATTTTGACCTCTTTGGGCTTTCTTATCCTAGGGATTTCGTTTTGTAATTTCAGTTTCTGTATAAATAAATAAAAATTGTCATTTTAGTGTTTTCTTGAAGCACCGTGTTCGTTTATTTTGTTGTTAATAATTAGATACCTTAATGATGTTGAATTTTCCTAATTTTTTGCAAGGATTATATGTGAATGAATAAGATAAAAATACATGGTTTGGATTATTGAAAAAGAATTTGTAGTGGATCCCAAAAGGCGTCCCTCAAATGAAGTAGTTTTTTAAGGTATTGGCATCAGCCAATACATGTTTTAATCTTTGTTAAGGTAGTTTTTTCCCCTAATCTCGCAATTTCAAAATTGAGTCCCAAGTTTTATTAATTGTTTTAATCTTGTTTTGTTAACTTTTTAATTTTGATTTAAGTTTTTATATATCTGGATTTATGTTAATGAATATTTTAACTTAATTTCAAGTGCCGCAAAAACATAATTTTATTTAATTTTGAATAAAAACGAATACAACAATAGTGAAATTAAAAACAAGTACAACATAAGTTAAATTAAAAACAACATGAAACTAGACACCAAACATCAACAAGGACAACTATGTCGCACGGGTACGAGGACGAGTACGCCGGTATAATTCATCGATAAGGCAAAATTCCAAAAACTAGAATACGAGTATGACACAAATACGATGATTTAAATTATATATATTTAAAAAATAATATAAATAGCAAAAATTAATATTGCATCCATCTTGTTATAATCATCCCTCATAACTTCAAAACATAAAACTAAACACAAAACACAAGTCTCCATAAACAAAACACAAAATACAAGTCTTTATATGAAGACCTAGCTTCTCTCAAGAAGCAGAGGCTGAGTCTTCACAGATGGAGTTTTTAAAATTAACATTATTGGAAGACAGTAAGAGTATTGTCATATTGAATAAGAGTATCGACATAGCGGAAACGAGCATTGGAGTATCGGATATGAATATCGGAGTATCGGATACAAACATACCCCTCTAATTAGGAGTATTGGTGCAACCTAGTAGTCTTAGTTATGTTGATGAAAAGGTAAACATTATAGACGTTAGAACTTGCAAAAATCATAGATAGGCCATGATTTTACATATGCTGATTTTTTTGTTGTCGAGAAATTTTGGAATTTCATTCATAATTTTAGCCAAAAAAGTCACTAGCCACAAAAGGCCAATACAAACAGTAAAAAAGGGCCATTACAATAGCAAAATGATCTAACATCAAAATTAAGACAATCTGGTGCGCCTCCACTAACAATAAGCATAATCGAAGAAATTTTGGCATAGACATCCCAACTAAGATTGCAAACTCAAAACAACCAAATAGAGATAATGGTTGAAAAAATCAAGCCATAACAATACAAATAAAACTCTCACAAGAGAGAGGTGGAAAACTCTCAGAAGAGGAGAGGTGAAAAACTCTCACAAAAGGAGAGGTGAAAACTACAGATGGTCAACTGAGACGCAATTGCAAGTAGGGGGGGCTAGGATATTTTTTTGGTTTTCGAAACTAGCTAGGATAGATTTATTTTAAACACTTTACAGATTGTCATTAAGTTGTGGACATATTATTTATTTTTAATAATACAAGAGTATATTAAATTAACACCAACAGTTATATGAGATAGGGGAAACAGCCACCAAACATTTGGAAAAGGAAAAAATCTAAGTTCAAATTATGAAGACCTGGACAACAATAAACTCATTTCAACGAAACAAACCAAAATAACAGCTACTAATTGCTACTAATACAAATGTTGAGCAGAAGTGGCGGTTGGGCTCAACACGTGAGGCTTTGCTTTGATACCATGAAGGAAGTTGAGGTACCACCTCAAACTCAATTGGCAATGGAGGGAGAAGCTCAACTCCTTATAAATCCAGACTAGGTCTCTTCACTTTTCAATATGGGACAAACACTCTAAAAAAAACACAATACTACTAAGACTTAAGACTTACTTTCTCTATTCTTCATTTGAATGATTCCAAAGGTCCATGCTAAAAGAGAAATCACCTCTACTTAGTCCTTCTTCAGAAAAATTGATGCACGTTCTTGTCCATTGTGGCATATCATCATCAACCCAAAAACTTGCGAGCAATTCTTCATCTAACCCAAGACCAGAACCTGTAGCTCTTTCAGTAGCATCCTTGTCATCTAAAAAGGTCTCCCACCAATCACTTCCAATCCTTGTTGATGTTGATGTTTGTGATGGCGTACTAAAATTCTCTTCTAGTTGAGTATCGTCCAAAATTGGTTCTTTAAAACTCAAACAATTTGAACTTTTGGTGAAGCTTCTTGGTTGTGGCCTTTTTATGATGGTCTTTATTGTTTCTTGGGATTTGTCTTTCATCTTTTTCAGGCAACAATCCGTCCGCAATCGGGTGTTCCAGTAATTTTTCACATCATTCGCAGTCCTTCCTGGAAGTCTTTGAGCAATCAATGACCACCTTCAACACATAGCATGAGAAAGTTAATACATTTGTATGCTAGTTTTTTTTGTTTTTGTTTTTTTGTGAAAATAAGCAATAGTATATTATTGATGAACAAATAAAAGTACAAAGCAACTATGTGCCGAATATGAGTAAATCTTCTCTAGTGACCAAACACAACAACATATTGAATTGATCTGGAGAAAATCACGCACAATCCAATTAATGACTAAATCCCTCATTCAGTAACTAGAAGCACATGTACTCAGACATACAATACAAATTTGCCGCGCAAACGGTAGAAATGGCAAATTCGTATTATAAGCCAAAAGCTAAAAAGAAATAAATTTTTTTTAAATAGAAAACAAATCACAGCAAACTCCTAAAGAGTTTTTGAAAATTATTAGTCTAAAACAAAACTAAGAAATATAAGACCACCACTCCACATCTTCCGGGCAACCAGAAGAAAATCATAGCGTCATACCGGCTAAACCCATAGTCTCGTGCTGGCTAAATCCAAACCCAACGCAACCAAACATCTTCCCCTTTTTAGAGCTCCAAACTATGTTAAAGGGCGCCAACTCCTTATATGCTAGTTTGTGTTTGAAAGATTTTACCAATAACAAAGATGAATAAAGTAAAAGGAAAAGGAGCCCAACATAGGTATAAAATTTTCACCCAAGTAAACAAAGAGCAAATAAATTTCCTATGAATATATTAATTTAATTTTTGCTAGGTATGGGAAACAATAATGTTAGGGAGACAATATTATTGTGCCACGCTTTAATTGGGTGTTGCACCCCAATAATTATACATTAAACCTGCATTAGGACGAGGAATTGCCAAAGTACTAAGAAATTAAAAAATTATAAAAATTAAATATTTTCGAAGTAATGTTTCTTGTATGACTAGCTGAAAGTATAATGAGATTTGAACGGGAAATTTAATGTTTATCTTTGCAGAGAGGGTATGAGTCTACGAGATGTATTTTCTGTGCATGCTGCCAACTTGTTTTGTCCTTCTGAGACAAAATAAAATTAAATAAAAAAGCACCAGGACCATGTGTGCTATGAGCTCAATTAATTAAGGACAAAATGAGTAGATGGTTGATAGCAAGGAAAGAGACATTTATTTATTGGTACCTGTTTCCTAAAAGCTTATGAAGCCTAATTATTAGATCTACTTCATCTTCCATAAAGTCTCCTCTCTTGATATTTGGCTTCAAATAGTTCAACCACCTTAGTCTACAGCTCTTCCGGCACCTGTTCAACCCTGCATTCATGCATAATGCAAAAAAATTGAGTTTTTATCACAAAACTTGTCATGAAATTATCAGGCTGCGTCTTAAACTTCGTTTTTGTCTTTGTTACAGCATGCATCTCTACAATAATGTGTTTTCTTGAGGAAGTTCCCAATGTTGGATATCAAAATGGCCTTTTATGTATGACATCCCTTGAGCAGAACACGTACAGAAAACCAATTAATAATGAGTGGAGAAGTTCAGGATGTCGTTTTTGTGTGTGTTAAGAAACAACACTAAGACAACGCTTCACTACTTAATTAAGCTGTAGCTATATATATATATATATATATACCATATATCTATCTCTCTTTTTGGAGTTATATTTCACATCAATACCTGCTTTGTAAGGAACTTGGTGCCACTTTCCTTCTCCTTGATTCTCAATGCACTGCCTCAGAAGATCATCTTCCTCTCTAGTCCAAGCTCCTCTTCTCACACCCAAGTTATAACCCTCCATATTTTCTTTTGGCCAGCGTTGTATGCTTGCAGCCAGCTTATTTTGTGCCTGCTAGTTACTTCAAGCGTCCAGAAGCCACCTAGCATTATAAATAAAGGGTTCTCCCACGGCATGGAGACCATCAAATTAAACCTTACCAGGCCAGTGACGTGCATGCCTCATACCCACAGAAGCAAAAAGTGACGAAGTTTAAATGATTGCAACAGTTATTCTCAGTAATAAATTAGCTACCAGTCAAACTATTAAATATTGTGGGATCTCCCAAATCCGAAATCCCCAAATCAAGTTACCCTTTTTCTCCAAAATCCCTTTTTTCTCCCAAATTTGAACCTCTAGATTTCCAAATTTGAAATTCGCTCAACCTAACCTTCTTCTCTCAAATTCTCCCTTTTCTCAACCTGGTTAACCCTTCCTCTCCTTTGTTAAGAGATTGAAAAGAAGTGGGGCCACATCAGCTGACAGAACTTCTCTCAAATCTGACATAATAGCTAATGTGAGACACTTATTGAAAGTATAGGTGGTATGTTGAGACATTTCAAAGAATAGATGGTAATCTGAGACTATTTTGAAAGCACAGGGGGTATATCCATAAATAAGCCTAAATATATTTATATTTACACTAACACCCCTGAGGGTTCTTGTGTTTTCACAAAACTCCCCTCATGTCTCAAACATTACACGAACACCCCCTGAGATTAAAGTTTGTTTTCACAAATCCCTTTTTGTTGATTGTTTGTCCAAAAATTGATGATTTCATTGAAAAAAAAGTATGCAAAGGAGAAAATTAACCTCAATGAAGTATATGCAATCCAACCTCAAAGGTCAACTTTGTCACTTGGAGAATTTTTTATTTTTTATTTGGTATAAAATCATCAATCTTTGGATGAAAAATTAATGAAAATGAATTTTGTGAAAACAATTTATAACCTCAGGGGGTGTTTGTGTAATTTCTTAAACCTCAAGGAATTTTGTGAAAAAGCCAAAAACCTTAGGGAATGTTAGTGTAAACTCCTTATAGGGCCCACTCTGTATTGTATTTCACTAATCCAAACTGTCTACTTTGTAGATATTCATTCAAAGATCATCTCTACAAAAAATCACTTGAATCCAATATCATTTGACCACTCAATCGAATTGTTGAAATTTTAGTACTTTCTTGAAGCACCGTGTTCATTGATTTTGTAGGACACAATTGGATATTGAAACGGTTTCCGATTTGTCTAATTTTTTTGCAAGGATAATCTACGAATATAGACTTAAAAAATAGATGATTTCGATTGTTGAAAAAATATTTTTTAGGGGATCCTAAAAAGGTGTCCCTCAAATAAAAAATATTTTACGAACAAAAATAAAAGTTATATGTAGAAAGCTGCAATTTCCACATAAGCAGAAAAGTCAGTTTTCCACGGCATAAAATTGTCTAATAGTCAAAACACATTGTAAGAATATGAATGCAGCATCGTGTAACTTGTTACTACACACACATCTTTACCCACCTGGAATCCTGCTTTTGATTTTTTGTCTGCATGGTCCCAATACAGGCTGCCTTACTTTTGAAGTGTTAGTTTGTAATTCGTTGTGTCTGGTTTATGAAAATGAAAACAAAGAGTCGCTTGACAATTGAAGTACCAAACCACTAAACTAAAACACCTAACGTTGTTTCCTCAAATTATTGTAATACTTACTTCAGCTAAAGTTGGTGGAGTGTTAACCAGAGTCGTAAATATTGGGAAAGGGGGAATCGAAGTCAGGACTTGTGTATGAGTAAATATTCTTAATCACTTAAACTACAAGCCTTTGTACGAATTCAGCTTTAGAGTAAAAGAAAGGAACAAAACTTCAACAAGAATAATATTGGACGATATATGCTTAAGTTGAAAGAGGAAAACAGTAATTTGCGGGAAGTAAAAAGATAATATTCAAAAAGCTCAAACAAGATATGTCCTTATTCAAAAAGCTCAAACACGACCGATTGATTTGTAGTTTAGACGGGGCATTGGTGGAAACTATACTAGCAAACATAGAATTTAAGCCCATGAAGAACAAGAGGAAGCTACATAATTTAATTCGAGGGATAGAGGGATAGCGTTTGGATCGATGTGCAATTAGGTGGAAAATCTGATTATTAATGTTAATTTCTTTTGTTTTGCATGGTAATTATATTGTTTAAACTTGAGGTTAAAGGTTCAGAAAAGCTACTCCTTCGTTATTTAAGGATACTTTTATGATGGAAATTAAAAAAGACAGTTTAACTAACGATGAAAACAAATTGCGAGGGTTAATTTGTCTAATTGATTCCAAAATTTTAGAATCCTAAGTGTTTTTTTTAAAGCTTCTTTTCTATTGTAACGAAACAACCACGAGTTTGTTTGTCAGGGATCCTTTTCTTTGATGTCAAATAGATATTTGTTCCATTTGAGGTTTTAGGTCCCAAAACCTCCGGAGGTTTCAAAATTTACACTCGCACTCTCTAGAGGTTTCAAATTGATTTCACAAAAGTTTGTATGTTAATTTTTCATCTAACAATTGGTGTTGTCATAAAAACAAAATTCTTCGAATGACAAAGTTAATTAAGAGATTAGATTGCACATACATCCATGAGGTCTAATTGTTTAAGTTAATTTTGTCATTTTAAAGAAGTATTGTTTATGAAATGATAAAATTTTCAACATAAAATTAAAGGAAGGGGTTAGTGAAAAGAATTTGTAACCTCGCTGGTGATGTCATTGTAAATAACTCTAGCAGAAAAAAGAAGAAGTTATTTACACTAACACCCCCTCAGGTTTTTGGTGTTTTCACAAATCTGCCTCATGTCTCAAAAATTACACAAACACCCTCTGAGGTTTCAGTGTGTTTTCACAAAACCCCTTTCCGTTGATTGTTCATCTAAAAATTGATAATTTCATTGAAAAAAAATTATGCAAATAAAAAATTAACCTCAATTAATGTATATGCAATCTAATCTCAAAGACCAACTTTGTCATTTGAAGAATTTTTGTGTGTGTATAAAATCATCAATCTTTGGACGAAAAATCAACAAAAATGGGTACCTGAGGGGGTGTTCGTGTAATTTGAAAAACGTCAGGAGATTTTGTGAGAAAACCAAAAAGCTCAAGAGGTGTTAGTGTAAAAGTCAAATAATATGGGTAGAATATTTTCAGATATATTTCATTCTCCGAAAGGAGGTATTTATAATACAGGTTACAAACCCTAGTAGGGTTTAATTAGGAAATAAGTGGAATCCTAATTACATAATATCTACACAAAAGGTAAAATAAATAAAACCCAAATAGAATAGGACTAGGACTCGCCAACACTCCCCCTCAAGTTGGAGCAAAGACGTCACGCATGCCCAACTTGTCAAGCGAGTTGAGAAAGATACTTGTAGAAACAACTTTCGTAAGAACATCAGCTAACTGATACTCTGAACGGATGAAGGGGAATGACACAATCTGCGCATCCAACTTTTCCTTAATGAAATTTCGATCAACCTCCACATGCTTTGTACGGTCATGTTGTACAGGATTATGAGCAATTGCAATCGCAACCGTATTGTCACAATATAA